CTCCGACATAGTGATAACACTCGTTGCCTTCTCTAGTGCAGCTCAACCAGGTCTCGTCCCATTCGTCGGTATTTGTGACATCACAAATCCCGGAAAATATGCGTTGTAGTCCAAACGAGTCGTTCGTTGTAGTTTTTAAAAAGTGATTTCTGTTAAATAAAATGTCTACTTTTGAAGTGGACTTTGAGCTTTGTAACTTTGCAGATCTTTTTTAGGCTCAAACAGCAACATTACAGACCAACTAAAGTTGAAAAAGTGAAAAAGCATAATAGGACCCCTTTAAAAGTCGCAATTACTTTTTGTAATTATTCTGTGGTGGAAACAGGCTACCATAATAGTTTGATGAGTTCTTCGTTTTGAATAGATAAAGTGGTTTGTTAATTTCAAAAGATACACTATTTTGTCAACCGCTATTATACAACTACTGAAAAATGTAGTTAAGTTAGTAACTTTAACTTCCCAAGACTGGATGTTATGCAGCAGTTTTGGCATGTTAGAGCTATTTACGACAACACCAGGTCAGTGGCAGTGGCATCAGATTCCCCTGTATTTCCTCAAGAGACGATACATCTGCTCTAGATGTTGATCAATGTCTCTGTTTTCTGTTTTCTTTTGTAGAAATATGTCATTCAGGTTTACCAAAAGGTAGGACCCTCGATGGGCTGTGTGCAGTTAATTAACCCTGAAATATGAAGTTTAACTCTTAACCCTAGTGTGAAGACGATTAATCGCTTGTCACTCACCTTTGACGCTCTGTCTTTTAATCGGAGTGCGACTGAGCATGCCTGAGACTTCTGCTGTTTTCTGATGAGCAGCACCTGACAGACATTACTAATCCCCCATGCATGCCTGTTCACAGGTTACAACTGAGCACAATAGATCCATTAGACTCCTTATTAGATCCACATTTTCCATTCACGCCTTTTATCTTCAAGGAGGAAGGTTGTGTGTGTTTTGTACAGTTAGATGATAAACTACAGCATTCAATAGTGGGAACATTAGTTCGAAGATGGTATTCTTCAGTCAGCCATGAAAAATCAAAACCTCTGAAATGAAATAATGTTGTTTTTCCTCTTTAATTTATATGTAACTGAATAAAAACATACCTGGGGTCACATTTAACCCTAAAATCAAAAGAAATGGGGAATTAATATTTTTTTGAATACATTTCTTTTAATTTTTTTTTTATTGAATGACATTTATTTTTATGGCACATAAATCATTATAATATAGTTATAATTCAAAATATTTATTTATCTGCTTAAATTGAAGGCAGTACAGCAAATGCTACTATGAAATAAATACATGACAATTTAAACCATATGAAATAATTAAATAACATTTTAATAATTAAATCCTTTTTGCTTTACAATAATGACAACTGTTTTTCTCTAGTAATGAGAATTGGGCAGGAAAACATTCTCAATTTATATGAAAATGTTGTGCAAAAATCATTATGGTTACAAAAATAGCTTTTATTTTCTTTCATACAATTTTTTTTATTAAAATGTATTTATTATATTTGTGTAAAACTATAGTGTGGACATGTTCCTGACATGTTTTGTGAGATTTATATACAGTAAGTCGTCATTAGCATATACTGTGTTTTGCTTAAAATTCATCTTTATATATCAATTTATACAAAAATTCCTGCGATACGGTAACAGACTTGCTCTTGGTTGTGTAATTCAGGCCACCCTACTGGGCTCTTAATTTAGCAGCTGACAGATGTGGCGATTGAGAGGGGTTCTTTACAAGATTTCTGGAGTTAAGGTACCAAGACAACCACCCTTTCCCAGTTTCACCCTTCATGCTCCAGAATCCACCTCTAGAAGTAGCATTTGCCCAGGATCTTCTGATTCCAGCTCTTCCTTTTTGACCTACCCAGTCGTATTGTTCCTGCAGGTGGTCTTGCAATCCCAGTGCTTTCATTCCCACCAGTGCTGTTATGACATCAACAGATAACAGGTTTTTTTTATCCAAACATTGGTCAGATGTCAGTAAGCAAGACATGCTTATAGCCTCCGTGATTTTGATAGTTATGGCATTTTTTTGCCAGAGATGTTTTCAAGAGTTCGTAAGTTGTATTAAAACAATTAAATTCCTTTCAGAAGTTGCAGGATGCAGCAGTGAAGTGTCCCAGTGGATGTTGATTATATATATATATATATATATATATATATATATATATATATATGTCAAAGGCAGTTTGCCTCTTATTGTTGCCCCATAAGAGCACTTATCCACCAGCGTCCTTTCCTCTGACCGCTGCTCACCGCCCACGCCGCTGCATGACCTCTCCCAGTCTCTTTTACATGTTCTATTCTGTATAATGGATGATTAATGTCCATTTATAACTGAATATGTTGCATTTAATGTGCTTTGTAGTATGTAGCATTAATGTCATAAAACGGTAGAGTGGGTTCAGATGTGTCAGTGGGTGAGCTGTTAACATACATTTAGTTAGTCTATTCCATTATATACAGCTGCCTAAGACTGAAAATAAAAAAAATATATCTATATATTTATTATATATATTTCCCCCAAATATATATCATATACTACCATTCAAAAGTTTAGGATCAGTCATTTTTGTTGTTTTTAAAGTGGTCTCTTATGCTCCCCAAGGCTGCATTTATTAAATAAAATAATAATATTATGAAATATTATTGTAAATATTATTACAATTTTAAACAACTTTTTTTCTATTTGATTATATTTTAAAATGACGTTTATTCCTGTGATGCAAAGCATAATTACTCCAGTCTTCAGTGTCACATGATCCTTCAGAAATCATTCTAATATGACGATTTGCAGCTTAAGAAACACTTCTTATTTTTATCAATGTTGATAGAACAGTTGTTCTGCTTAATATTTTTGTGGAAATTGCAAAAATAATAATAATAATTTAGGGGTGGGTGGGGTCTTTGATGAAAAGAAAGTTATTTGGACTTATTTGAAATAGAAATCTTTTGCAACATTATAAATACCATCACTTTTTAGTAATTTTTGCATCCTTTCTGAATAAAAGTATTTAATTATTTAGTATATATATATATATAATCTTACCGACTACAAAAGGATGCGTTAATTGGCATGAATTATGAAATTAAGCTACCAAAAAGGAAATGTGTGTCATTTGGTTTGGGGTAAGCTATGGCAAAAACAGCTTTCAACTTTATTCTCATTTCATTTAACAGCAGATATCTTGAAATATTCATTTATTTGTCAAAAAAGAATGAAAATCAAATATTTATGATCAAAATTGATTTCAAAGCTATATATTCTCTCCCTGCCTAGAAGACCCCACACTGTCCCACATAATTTCTTTTTAAGCAAATAAAGTCCCATCTTTTTTCATTAGAAGGGCTCTTTCATTTTTAAATGGTGTTTTGTCTTTCTTACCAGACGACATGAGCTCAGTTGTGTCCACTGCATGGAATCTATTTAGAACAGGAAGCTGAATCATTGGGTACAGGAAGGGTATCTGTAATACCCTCTGTCTCCTCCTTTCCATTTTATCTCTCCACACAGGTCAACTATAAGTGCATGTCTAATATTCCTCTCCACTTGCACAGAAACTTGTATCTGTTGTTGGCGTTCTCTCCAACATTGGCTTTGATATTCTCTCTCTTTTGTCCTAGGATGTCTGAAAAGCTAATGTTGTCTTATCTTCCTTTCCTTGATCAGCTGAGTCTCAGGTTTTCTTGCCTCTAAACTATTTTTCTCTTTTTCATCCTGGTTCTTAAAGAGTGCCGGCAGAATGCGATCGAAATGGGAGGTATGAGGATTCAAGGTGAGACAGGACATTCTTATCATTTCCCATATTTCTTTGCCTTTTAGTCCTGACATTACTCCACAGACTTAACCTCATTGTTGAATAATGTTCTACAAACATACATAAACTGGCATCTGGCATAATGAAAAACCAGTGAGGCTTTTATTTAGAAGTTAAAATCTGTTGTGTGAATATTCATTTATTCTGATCTGTCACAAACTCAGTAAGCATTTGTTTGCATTGACATTTAGCTCTATTGCTCTGTCCCCTTGTGGCTAAAAAAAAGAAGAAAGTACAACATGATTATTAGTGCTGTTTGATAAGGTCACAGCAGTGTTACTCTGGGTTTGTTAATCACTCTTAATACCACACACAACACTATGTAACATCATACAGTGGTTTTCTTGAAATGTTTGAATTTGGATCTGAGCTTGGAAACATTTTATAGTTTAAAATCACCGAAATCTTTCTCTATGTTCTTATTTTTGCACCCTTGAGTTGTTGACTGCACTGTTTCTGTTTCTTTGCATGGTTATTTTTGTTCACTGCATGTCAAATGCACTCAGGTGCTTCAGTGCATGATGTGTTGTCACTGAAAACTGAGAAAAGTTGTATGAGAACTTGTTTTTATGGACAAGTATGTGGATGCAAACACTTCTAGCTATGCTAGCTCGATTTTAATATTGTTATGCTTCGAAAGGTGTCACAAAACGAAATTAGCATAAACTGTCACATCGTTACTATCACAGTAACACAAGAATGCACACAAAGGTTTGTATTGTTTACTAAAACTATTATGTATACTAAAATTGTAAGTATTTTTTTTCATTAACTAAAAAAAAGTTTGTGGTCAAGATTTTTTATTTATTTTTTTTTATTTTTTTAAAGAAGTCTCTTATGCTCACAAAGGCTGCATTTATTTGGTCAAAAATACCGTAAAAATATTAATATTGTGAAATGTTATAATTGAAAAGAACGGTTTTCTATTTGAATACATTTTAAATATAATTTATCCCTATGATGCAATGCTGAATTTCCAGCAGCCATTAATCTAGCCTTCAGAGTCACGTGATGAATAGAAAGTTCAACAGAACAGCATTTATTTGAAATAGAAATCGTTTGTAATAGTATAAATGTCCCTAATATCATATTTGAACAGTTTAATGTGTTCTTGCCGAGTAAAAATATTTAGAACATTGTTAAAAAAAAGGGGGGGGGGGGGGGTTCTAATGGCTCCAAACTTTCTCTGTCATTCCTGAAGTA